GTCCTGGAGCCCTCGGTCTAATGCAAGGGAGTCTCACGCGGCTCCACATCCACCCAGGTACAGGGTGCGGGACTCATAACGCAGCTCACCACGCCAGGGAAGTGGGGTGGCAGAGGCATCCCACTGTGCGTCTAAGGCTGTTGATGAGAGTTATAAAAAGGGGGAAATAAGAATATGAACCTGGAAGTTAGACACTGATAACTGGAGAGAGTTTGAAGGTCCGGAAGAGATTAGGTGAGAGCTAACAGAACTATGTAGATGAGAGAATAGGGTAGCCTCATTTGGAGACAGGAAAACATGGTGGGTGTAAGTGGGGGAGAGCCTGGGACAGACCTCTCCCGTTGGGCTGGAGGCAGCACTGTGGACAGGGGTGGTTAGAGTTGCCTGCGTGACCAAGGCACAGAGACAGGCAATGACAGTAGGTCATTGTATAGACAGGATGTCTGCTAGACAGGTGGTTGAACAGCCTAAAGTCCTATGGAACAAGGAAAAGATAAATAAGTGACTGTTCCCATCCTGGAGTTTGTCCTTACACATTAGAAGTCTCTGAGATTGTTTTAATTGAAAGGCAAACACTGTGCATGACTCGGGTGGCAACCTCGCGACTCTAGCCCGGCCTTGGGTACCGAACTCAAGGTTTTTATATGAGAAAATTGGTTTAGAATGAATTAAAACTCTCTTTCTCCTTAAAAACAAATAAATTCTGAATCTGCTTTGGCCTCCTTGGAACAAAGGTAAAGTAGAAAGAGTGAGAAGTCGCTTAGTGTAGAGTCACTGAGTGAGGACTCTCGTGATCCGGTAGGAGAGAACCTTCCTGAACTGAATTGCGGGCAGTGAGTGCGGCCAGTGAGATTGCTTTTCGGTGGACCGTGCTGTGGTGCTGTGGGTGTCACAGGAGCCGTAACACTTGCTTTCCCTCTTCTCCCCGTTTGCACCTTGTCCTCTGTGTCCCCGCGGGTCACTGTGTCGCCTCCCTCAGTCCTCCCAGCCACGGATCATCCCTGGTCTTTCTCCACACTGCCATGTTCTGCCTTCATCCATGGTTTCCCTGTTAGGGCAGATAAGCGACGAAGAACCTGGCAGAGCATCGCACTAGACGTCCTCCTCAGTGCGAGCGCTGAACAAAGTGATGGGCTGAATGCTTCCAGCACCAGAAGTCGACTGCAGCCCAGCCCGCCTCCAGCTAGTCCCAGGGCTCCGCTGATCACTGTGCTGTTTGTCTCATCGCTTACTGATCTGACTTCTTGTGCAAGAGATCACATTTCAAAACCTCAGGGGCCGTCTTCGAGAGTGGCCCTTGTCAGCCTGGATATTTGTGTTACTAATCCAGACTTAGCGCGAGGATAGTGGGAATAGTCCAGGGCCTTGTAAGTGTGGTCCCTCCCACTCATGACCCCGTGGGAGTCACGGTAGCCGGGTTATTAAGGTAGAGTTCTACACAGAGCTTGGGCGCAGTGTGGACAGAACCTTTACACTTTCAGAATAGCCCACTGGCCTGATGTGTTACATGTATTCCAGGGACTAGGAGACAGGAAGGGAACTCACAGCAGGATTTTTTCCTAATCTTCAACCCCCTGGGGATGGCTCTTACTCAAAATATTCTGGGTTTAAAATGCTTCCAAAGAATTCTTGCTTCTCCTGGAATGTTCTATTTCTTGGAATAATAAGGCTGGAGGGAGATACGGTAGATCTGGTCTCTGTCTAGTGCTTCAGCTGTGACATAATTAATTGTTAAATTTTACCATGATTGTGGGCACAAGGAGAGACCCAGATCAGTGGAGCAGAGGAGAGGGTCCAGGAGTGGTCCACACATACGTGGTCACTGGATTCACCCAATGGCGTTAGTTAATGAATCCATAGGAACAGAATGATCTTCTTGACAAGTGGTGCAAAAGCAACTGGACACCCTTGGGGTAAAGATGGGGGGCTCTTATTACCTAAACTCGTAGTGCACACAAAAATTAATTCAGGATGAACCAAAAACCTAACTGTAGAAAAGAATTTACATGATGGCGCATGTCTATAATCCCAGCACTCAGGAGGCTGAGGTAGGAGTCGCTGTGAGTACAAAAATTAATTCAGGATGAACCAAAAACCTAACTGTAGAAAAGAATTTACATGATGGCGCATGTCTATAATCCCAGCACTCAGGAGGCTGAGGTAGGAGGATCGCTGTGAGTTCAAGACCAGCCTGGGCTACATAGTGAGTTCCAGATCAGTCTCAACTACATAGTGAGACCTTGTCTCCAAAAAAACAAAACCAAAAAGAAAACTTATGTACAAAACTTACAGAAGACAACAAGAGATTGTCAGAGGACTGACCAGGTTGAACAGAAGTTTTTCTACATGATACAAAACCATAAACTAGGCAGGAAAGACTTGATTAAGTAAACTGTATTAAAATTTAGAACATCCACATAAGATTGTGGGGAAAATCCACGGCACACCTTCAGGTTCCCTGGCGAGTGCCCAGTTGCCCTGCACTCCAGCAACTGCCCCACCAAGACCAATGGGTCTGTGCCCTCAGGGACTCCTGAGGGGGTGGCTGCAGGCTAAAGCTAGTGGGCTTTCGCAAGGCCATTGCCTGCAGAGCCTCCCAGGGAAACTGCCTTGCTTTCTTGTGTGGCTCTGCGGCATGAGAGGCGGCTTTGTCCCTGAGCCCCTCCGGATCTTTGAACACGTGTTCTTCCCAGAATAATCCCTGCAGATGCCCAGGGCTCTGAGGTCAGGCTGCTCTGCTGAGCAGGAGGGAGCAAGTGGCCGCTGGGAGAGTGGGGGAGAGTAGCTCTAAATCCAGCCAGATCCAAGCCCTGGAGTCCCAGGGCCCTGGAGGAAGCCCCACGTGGGGGGCAGCCAGACTCTTGCAGGACTGAACCAGCACACGTGGTAGGAGGCGTGTGACACAGAGCCAGGAGGCACACACAGCACAGCTGTTCTCCTGTGCCACAGGTGCAGCAGCAGTGCTGAGACCCCAGCCCCATCCTGAGCCTCCCACTCAGATCCGTGGCTTGGGGCTGGAAGCAGGAGTATGTTTGGAGCTTCCAAAACTTTTGATTGTTCTGTATACATTTTTACAAAGGAGGAAAAAAAAATCCCAAGAGATTTTTAAAAATCGACTTGAGTGGAAAAATCTTACATACCAGGGTCATTTCCTTTCTGTGTTTTAAGAAATGAGCATGCTGGAAATAGTTTGCTGTGAGAGGGGAGACTTTGTGTCCTCTGGATGTTGATGACTCCAAAAAGCTTTCCAGGCCTGAAGGCAAGGTTGTCCCTTTCCCAGGACCCTAATGCAAGATGACCCTGTGGTTAGTATTCAATTGGACTGGAAGACCCAGGAAGCTGGGGTTGGAAATTCAGAGGGAATAATTAACTCGCTCACTCCCGAATGAGCACATTCAGGAAGCATGGGTCCCCAGGCTCGGTGCTCTGTGCCCCTCGCTCAGCCTGCCTAGGTCTCCCTGGTCCTGGTGGCGAGCCCTGGCTAGTGTTCAGAATTGGTGCAGGTGAGATGTGAATCATCCACTGGACAGCTGGCACGTGCTCTCTCACATCTGCGGGCTTGAGAAGTGTGAGTTGGGGTGGAACCAGAACTCCCCCAGTGGGTGTGCCTGGCGTACCTCCAGGGAAGGTCCAAAGGATTAGTGCACAGAGCCTTCCTCTGACATCTTTGTTACGGTGGATGAGCTTTCCTACTGAGCAACATCTTCAGCCCCTTTTATTTTTCTAGTTTTAGGACAGAGTCTCACCGAGTCATTAAATTGCCTGGGCTGAGTTCAAATTTGTGATTCTCCTGCCTCAGTCTCCTCCCGTGCTGGGATTACAAGCGTGCACCACCACACCCAGCTGGTGAGATCTTATTCAGGCACTGGTCTCCCCTTAGGTGATTAGGGCAGGAATCAGCAGATTTCTGCTGCAGCGGCCACAGCCCCAGTGTGCTGGGCCACACAGCCTCAAATGCAGCTGCTCTTTGCTGCCCTTGTGGCAATAGAACAGCCAGAGACAGCAAGGATACAGATGGATTTTTTTCCAGCCATTTAACACACAAAGATCATCCTTAGCTTGCAGGCCATGCAGATGGAAGGGCGGGGTGCTTCGGTTCACAGATTATAGTCAGCCAAGCCCAGCAAGACCAGCACTTTGGGCCTGCTTACTGCCGGGAGCTGTGTCAGAGAAGACGGTGCGGGGTTCCAAGGTTAGGGACAGGGTAGTGTCACATGGACCCCCTCTCTGGGCTGCCACGTTTAACACCCCCACCACCAGCGCTGCATGCTGGGACATGAATGTGGGAAGTGGCCCTCCCTTTGGGGGCCTGGGCACAGCAAGAGGCATTTGCTGTTATTTACCAGCTGCCTTCTCCGTCCAGACTCCTCCACCATGTCCTGACCCCAGGCACTTGGGTTTAAAGATGCCTGGGCTGGGGATGTAGCTCAGTGGACCGCGCCAGCCTCCCGAGAGTACGGTCCTGAGTTCGATCCCCAGTACCAAAACAGAAAAGAGAGAAAATAAAAGAAGGCTTCTCCAGTCCCCAGTCCCCAGGGCGCCTCAGACTCTTCCCCACATTGGATCCAACAGGTTCGTACCCCGCACAGACCCTCATCTTGCCTGCATACTGGGGATGTTTTCAAATAGGTGCTTAGGTGTGTGTGTGTGTGTGTGTCTTTCATTAGTCACCGAATTACTCAGAAATATTGGTAAACGAAGAAAAATACTAAAACGTTTTGGAACTAAAATTTCCTGTATTAATAGAAAAATCATAGATAATGCAAAACAGCTGGGAAATTAAAACTCCCTGAAGCGTGGCTTGGGGGAGAAGATAATTTTGTTAACAAAAGATTTTTCTTCCTAATTGTTTTTGGGGGTTGGTGTATTTAGATTCTTGCGTTTCCAAAGCAGACTCTCAGAGCGGCCGGCTGGGCTGGGCTGCTCCGCCAGGCAGCAGGCTTCGTTTGTGGCAGGCGCAGCTCTGCTGAAAGTCCTATCGGCCCTGTGCCCTCTTGCAGGCCCGTCCATCGTGACGCCCCCCAAGGACATCTGGAACGTCTCCGGCGCCCAGGTGTACCTGAGCTGCGAGGTCATCGGGATCCCCACCCCAGCGCTCATCTGGAACAAGGTCGGTAGCACAGATGTCTGCGCATCCCAGCCTGGCCGGCAGGGACGGCCCAAGCCAGTGTCCACCTGAGACGCTGCCTGGGGCTGCCTTCACCTCACCGGCCTGCTTGCTCTGGGTGCAGAGCCCTGGGCCTGATCCCAGGAATTAGAGATAATAGTGCTGAACCTACCCTGTCCTCTGCTGTGTCTCTGTGTGCAGCGTGATGGCTAAGAGTGTGCCTTCCACACCAAGCATGGAGACGCACGCCTGTGATCCCAGCACTAAGGAGGCTGAGGCAGGAGGAACGCTTCAATTTCAAGGCTAGCCTGGGCTACATAGTGAGTTCAAGGCCAGCCTGAATTATACAGAGCAAGACAAAGAAAGAAATAAAGTGAGTTCCTCTCTTTCTGCCCCCAAAGCCCCCTTCCAACTATGTGCCACGGCCCTGGTCTCCCCACTTGAGACTAAAGGCCTCAAACACTTGGCTGATCCTCTGGGACCAATCAGCTGAGAGACCTGCTCTGCAAGGTTCTCTCTCCCTCCCTCCCTGTCTCCTCCCCGTGCCCTTTTGTTTTTTTTAGACAGTCTTGCTATGTAGTCCAGTCTGGCCTCGAACTCGAATCTACACACACACACACACACACACACGCACACACACACACGCCCGCTTCAGCCTCCCAAGTGCTGAGGTTACAGGTATGCTCCACCACATCCACGCTTTCTTGATGATTAGAGGTGCAACTTCTGGAATTCCGGGGATTCTGGCCCCGGGGGTCAAAACTTTCTGGAGCCAGTGAAGAAACTCCTACCAAACAGACTAGCTGAGGCAGAAACACACGCATGCGCACACGCACATACCCCCAGATAGGGAAAGAAAAAAACGGGGTGATTGTGGTCTCCAGGACCACAACCGTCCTCCCAGGGCCTGAGCCTGCTCTCAGTGCGTGGGTCTCATCTTCTGCTCCAGAAGGCTTGGCCCACGGTAGGTAATGCGGCAGCCGAGGCCCCCTGCGCAGTTCTCAGCACAGCCTGAAGCCCCATGGAAGGAAAAGGCCATCCCTCTCCGGAGTTGGAAAGTCCGGGGAAGTGCGGCCAGCGCTGGCTTCTGGCGCCCCCTGGCGGCCGAGGGCAGTCTGTGCGGGAGCCGGGCTGAGGCGGGGTCCGCTGGTGTCCCAGGCAGAGGATAAATGACGCCTTAGGTTCTGCGGGTAAAGAGAAGGAAGAGTTGAGGGCAGGGCGAACAGAAAATACGGATTTTCTGCATACTTGCTAGAACGATCCAGAGGCCCCGCCGCCCAAGTGTAGGAACTCAGCGAGATCTTACAAAGAAGACCGAGAGCATCCGGGCAGCGCCATGACGGCCTGAGAGCAGCAAGGGCCAGGCCCGGCCGCTGCAGACTCCGGGAAAGTCGTCGGCCGGATCGTTAGACAGTTTGTCTAGTCACCCTGAGCGTCTCCGTATGCCGGACACGTTTAGGGTCACAGAGGGCTTCAAGTCCAATTTAAACACAGAACTGATTCTTGGATAGAAGTGAATGTTAGATTTCTCACTTTGTACACAGAAACTGCCAGGCATGGTGGCGCAGGTCTGTAATCCCAGCACTGGGGAAGCTGAGGCAGGAGGATCACCACGAGTTCGAGGCCAGCCTGGGCTACATAGTGAGGCCTTGTCTCAGAAAAATCCATAATAAAACAAAGCGGAGAACCTATGCCTCAGAGAAGATGGCGTTTTCTTAAGGGACAGGAGCCTTCTCCATAACTGCAGGGCAGTTCTTTTTTTAATTATTAAACTTTTACATTAAATAATAGAAGGTGATTTAGTTTGAGGCTTTGTTTCCAAGAGATTCCATGGCAGTTCTTGGAGATCAGGCATCCGGTTAGCAGTCTGTACTTGTCCTTACCAGTAGCTCTTTTCTGGTATTAAATGTGGTATCCAGTGTGAAAAGAGGCTGAGGGAGGAGGATCTCAAGTTCAAGTTTCACCTGAGCGACTTAGCATCTTAGCCAGTTAATTCTGCCTCAAAAAATATAAATATTCATTTATTTTTACATATATTTAAATGAGCTAAAAATATGATTGAGAAGGCTCTGGATTCAGTTCTCAAAAACTGCAAAAAGTTATAGTAATGGTAATGAGAAACTGTCTAAAGATCTATCGTTCATAAAGAAAGAGTTCCTAATTTTCCTTTCTCTTTCTACTCCCTAAAATAACCAACATGAACTGCCCTGATTTTATCTTCCTTCGTTTTTTTGTACCAGGGATTGAATTTGGGTCCTTGAGCTTGCAAGGTAGGGGGTGACACCTCTGAGCTAAATCCCCGGCCCAGTTTCATCTTTCCACGGCTAGACACATAGACTCACACCCCGTGTGAGCATGGGGGTGGGGATACAAAGTGCTCCCTTCTCCAGTTCTTAGTGGTGGCTGCCCAGCCCCTCCAGGCCCACTTCTTTGCAGCTGTAATATTCTGGGTGTCATGTGCCGCACCCTTAAACCATTCACGTAGCGTTTCTGTTGTTCCCAACTCTGACGCCCTAAAGAAGGCCACCTAAGCATCTGGGTGCTCAGGTCCTCTCACAGCCTGACGCACTTGGTGAGGATGGCTTCCCGGAAGGCACATGGGCAGGTGTAGATACCTGTTCTCCTTGTAAAGAGCGTGGCCAGGTGCTTTCCGGATGGGTGTCGGGTGGCGTGACCCACACCCCGCCGCCCTGGCACTGATCTCCTGCGCCCATCTCCTCCACTGCACTGAGATCTTCACACTGGGTCTCTGCACCTGGGGACTGACCTTTCATACCCTTTACTGTTGTCTATCAAGTTCTTTGGCCACTGGCTGTTGTTACATTAGAGATTCTGACCCCTATTCATGTATGACAAACATTTTTGTAGATAGTCATCTTGTCTTTTGTTTCCCTGGCTGAGAGGATCTGAAGATTTTGACAAAGATATGCATTCTAAATTTAAGACTTCTGAAGATTTGCCAAGAAGTCACCAAATCGGCCCTGTAATTCATAAATGAACTTGAACATTATTGCCCTGAAATTCAGCAACCTCTTACCGTTTCTCAGCCCATGGTAATCAGACGGATCTCCTCTGCATGTCCATCACCGGCACTTTATCTTATTTCTTACTGCTTACTTACAACAGCAGGACTCAGGGCCACTGAGCTGAGCAGGACTCAGGGTGACCAAAACCGGGGGAGGCTGAATGACTGCCAGGTCCCCGCCTCCCCCAGCCTTTTGGGCAGGTTCTCCTGCGCTGAGGGCTTTCGAGGTTTGCACTCAAGGCTCTTCCAGCCCAGGATCTGCAGAGCTGTTTCAAGACCTACTTTTCTCTGCCTGCATTTTCTTTTTTAACTCTAGTTATTCAAATTAAGAAGTTTACCATTTAAAAATTGGCCACATAAAAATTCTTGGCCCTTCCATGTATGGTGTACAGGTTTTTATAACTTTTTATAATATGTTAACTAGAATATATCAACTCTGTTAAATATTATATTTTATTTATGCATATTATATATTCTCTTGCATAATAGATAGGCTTAATTAGCACAAAATGCTTTTTTAAAACTAAGAGTTATGTGATCTGCAGCAGTACCATTCAGTTGCTTAGATTCAGTATTCCTGGGCTATACATCTTATTTTTCTGCTTTGGTCATAGATAAAACCTTTATAGAATCCTGGACTCAGTAAATAAAGGCCTAAGATATATTATTTAGCTAATGAATCAAATCAATACCCCCAAAACATTAAGACTTTTTAAATAACTCTTTTTTGAAGCAGGACCTTGCTGTGTAGCCCAGACTAGCCTCCAACTCCTGCCTCGGTCTCCTGTGTATTGCAGTTATAGGCGTGCATGACCAGGTCTGGCTTAAATAAAGCTGCACTCACATAAACTGTTTCCCAGATACTTGGGAAATGGAAGGGAAAACTCGCCTGGTCTGTGTTTGTCCTCATAGCATTCACGTGAAAAGGAGACCGAGTTACCTTGTATTCTCCCACTAACGGTGGAAATGTAGAGACGTTCCAGGGGGAAAAAGGAACACTTTGTTACAGAAAAAACTGAAAAAGAAACTAACTCCCTGAGATTTTAAACCTCAACTTGGCTTGAAAAAGGGGCCTAGCATAAAATGAACATTCTTCTGTGTCTTTTTTTCTTAAAAACCACAATTACTACAGCCCTAAAATAGATGTATCTTATTAGCTAGATGCAGAGGTGCACACCTGTCTAATCCACGCAGGAGGCCCAGGCAGGAGAATGACCAAGAATTCAGGGTGAGCACGAACCACTACCTAGTGAGGCACTGTCCCAAAAAACAAAACAAAGATCATATCCTGTAAATGAGTTGCTAAATGCGTGTGCACACCGGGGATAACATGTAGATTTTTTCTTCTGTGTATTTTTTGTGTATTTCCCAAAGCTCACATAATGAACATAGTTTGACCTTTGGAAGGAGGGAGGGAGTTAGGACAGTATTCACTATTGGCCTCAGAGCAGGAAAACTGGGTGTCTTAAGCCGGCCTTCCACATCGCATCCCGACACACACAGGCAGGCACAGGCAGCAGGTCTTGTCATGAGGACAACGGCAGCAGCTTATGTGTGACAGTCACTTCTGATCCTAGGTCTTCAGTGAATCTTCTGCACAATCCTTAGCCCTCAGAACACAGAAATGGAACTGGCTTTGGCCCAGGCCTGTCACACCTGCCCCTCGGGGCCATCTGTCAGCCAGCAGCTGACAGAGGTCCTGCAGTGAGGATTTCTGAGGGCAGGAGACTGGCGGGAAAGGATGAGCTTGTATCTTCCCCAGGCATGTAGAAAAAATAAAACACCAAGGAGTGGGAAACCAAGAAGAGGAGCAAATAAACGCTGCGTTTTAATGAACATCCAGGACAGGGGCTATGTGGGTAAATGACTGCGTCTAATGTAATCAGAAAGCCTGCTGTCTGCCTTGTGCAATTTTCTGAATGTGGCCATTTCCAAGTTGAAGTTTTGGTGTTGAAAATGTTGTTTTTTGCAGGTCAGAAGGGGTAGCTACGGAGTTCAAAGGACGGAGCTCTTGCCTGGTGACCGGGATAACCTCGCCATTCAGACCCGAGGTGGCCCAGAAAAGCACGAAGTGACAGGCTGGGTGCTGGTGCGTACCAAGGCTGCAGGTTTTCTCGCCCAGGTCAGAAGTGACCAGACCTGGCAGGGTCCGTGTGCTGCCGCCCGAGGGCACTGCTCTTCCCATCTCTGAACAGCCCTACTGAGGGGTCACTGCTCCTCTTTCAGAAGAAACTAAGGGAGATGTTTTGGAAACAATGAATGGAGAATAGCATTTTTTGCAAGAGTTCAAAGCAAAATTCTCACAGGAACCAAGTGTTGCAAGCATTACGTTTGTGAATTTTGGTTTCAGGGCATTTCTTAGCTCGCGCCCCATTGGTGCTTCTGAGTGCTTCCTGCACCTGTCCAGTTTCGGACTTGTGCGGACTTCCAAAGCTGCCCGTGACACCTCCTCAGTCTGCACACTCAAGCGGTCTCCTCACCTGGGCTCGTGCTGCATCGAGCAGCCCCTTGCTAGGAGTCCCTCAGTCATGGGAGGGAAATGGGGAAGGACGGGCCTAGTGGAGGCCCATGAAAAGGAGACATCAAAGGTACTGATGACCTCTTTCTCTCACAGGTGTCTCCTCTGAGTAAGGAGGACGCCGGAGAATACGAGTGCCATGCATCCAACTCCCAAGGACAGGCGTCAGCCTCAGCCAAGATCACAGTGGTCGATGCTTTACATGAAATACCAGCGAAAAAGGGGCTGTGAAAAGGTGTGTCCCAGCCTCCCCACCAGTGTGAGAATGACTAGGGTGGCTGAGCATGGTGGCCCATGCCTATAATCCCAGCACTAGGGAGGCTTGAGGCAGGAGGAGTGCCAGGAGTTCAAGGCCAGCCTCAACTACATAGTGCTATATTGTCTCAAAAAACCAAAAACTGCCGGGGACTTAGCTCAGTGGTGCCGCACCGGTCTCAGAAGCCCAGGGTCCTGAGTTCGACCCCTGGTATGGTGGGAGACAAAAAACAAAAAACTAGGGTTTCTGCTTAATAAGAAGAGACTTCGCCCATTTCCCGGGCCAGAAGCCACCTGGGCCACGCTCCTGACGCAGGCTCCAAGGGCAGCGCCACTGCAAAGCACTTCTGCCCCACTCGCATTTCCCTGTCCATCCCCCCTTCAAGAACCAATGAGTGGGGGTCCTTGAGGTGAGGTTCCTGGAGCAGCCTCAGTATTACTTTGAAGCATCGTCCCAGACCTACTGAATGAGAAACCATTCCCAGATATTATTTGGGGCAATAATGGCACTAAATCACGTTCCTGTTCTTGTGGAGTCTGGTGCTTGGATGGGACGCCATCACACCAGGCTCACAAACCACCGGCACCCAGCTGGCACTAGAACTGATTTTTCAAAGGCCTCGCCACCCCTGCATCAAGCCGGCTGCTTTGGGGAGATGAGGATGATGAGTGCAGCAAAGTGAAAGGCAAGCTGTGAACCTCAGTCAGCAGAAGCTCGCAGCCTCTGCCCTGCCCTCCCACCACAGAATCTGTGCACTCTGAATGAGCCTTTTACATTTTTTTTAGTGAAGAGAAAGATCCACCCACCCGATTTGGCAGCTGTGCAAGCTGAGGCCCTGATATAAAAGTGAACTCGGCAGACAGGATGTAGGGCAGAGACACAATGACTCAGCCCACCTTGCCAACCCATGGAATCATGAGCAAATAAGTGATTATCTTAAATCTTAAAAAGAAATAGACTTCACTGTGTACCACAGGAATGTAGCAGTAAAATTTTTTTTAATTTACGGACACACATGAACAGAACCAGGTATCAAAGTATGAGACTGGCTATTAACAAAGTCCTGTAATGCTAGGAACCCTGGAGGGTACTGGGTCGGACATTAAACTTGGATCACGTGGTTGTAGCTGACACCTGCCAGTATTGGGACTTGGATACCTTTACTTATCTTATTTGCGAGAAAACTCAAACTCAATTAGAAAGGCTTAGTATCCAAGTCTTCTACATGGCATTTTTTTTCTTTGTGTCCTGACTATTAAATTCCCGTTGAAGGGGAAATAGTTGTAGGCACTTCAGTCTTTCTCTGACGCAGCCGTAAGCAGCACCATCTCCCATGGTTCAGCAATGACGCTGGAACTGGCTTCCCTCACCAAACGAGGACAAACTGTCCGCTTTTGTCAAACCTTTCTGCTATGCACATCACTCAACTGTGGGAAGGAAGGAAACAGCAAGAAAAGATGTGTTTGGTCAGAGTCCCTTCAGCTAAGATCTGCGGAGCCAGGCAGCGAAACCAACAGCAACAGCCAAGAGACAGCCATGTCCGAGTCTCAGTCATGCCGCTCGCTGTTCTACATTAAGCTCTACGTGTGGGCTGGACCACGAAGGAACGCTCCTTAGCCTCTGGCTCACAACTTGCTGACTGGGAGACGTCTGTGAAAAGGGCCCCTTTAACATGGCCCAGTAGAGCAGAATGACCTTCCATGCCTGCACTCCACATCTCAGCTCCCACACAGCACTGAGCCCATCACTCTCTTATTAAAGAACTCATACATACTTTTACCCCCATGTTTTATTTTGTGTTGGAGACAGGGTCTACTACATAGCCCAGGCTGGCCCTGAACTCATGGTGATCCTCCTGCCTCAGCTTCCCAAGGGTGCTGGGATTACAGGCGTACACCACACCTGGTTTGTTCGGTTTTTCTTAAAACAGAGGGTCTCAATGTTACCCAGGCTCAACTTGAACTCCTGGGCTCAAATGATCCACCTCAGCCTCCCAAGTAGCAGAGATTGCACACCACCATGCTCTGCTCTTTATCCTCATGGTTTAACATCTCCATATATTTGGAACACTAAACTACTTGACTATTAGAAAGTCAACCTTGCCAGGTGTGGTGGCTCATGCCTATAGTCCCAGCACTCAGGAGGTGGAGGCAGGAGGATTGCTGTGAGTTCCAGGTCAGTCTCAACTACATAGTGAGATCCTGTCTCAAAAAAAAACAAAAAAAAAAAAGTCAACTTGGGCTGAGGATTTAGCTCAGTGGTGCCGCCGCCTGCCTCACAATCACAAGGTCCTGAGTTTGATCCCTGGTACCAATAAAAAAGAAGCAAAGAAAGTTAACCATGTCTGTGTATAGAACTGATTTTTGCCTCTCTCTTTTTAAACAGGTGGAGGTGCTGACATAAACTTGCTGAAGCCTACATAGCTGAAAGCAGCTACATAACTACATCTCCTATTCTTACCTGATTAAGTAATTTTAATCGAATCCACTAACACTTTAGATATTCACTGGTTTTACACAGAGAAATCCAAATTAAAGACAACACATCCAAACTATCTACAAAACTTTATTGTCTATTTACAGAAGAAAAAGCATGCATATCATTAAAATGCTTATCAAAACACAGTACATTATGTCTTTTTTGGGGGGGTGCTGGGTAATGAACTCATGTCATTTTTTTCAAGGCTGTGTCACAGAAACAAGGTACAGATAAGTATCTTGTTGAGAAACTTTTAAAAGATCTAAACACTCATCATTCGAGGTGCAATGCTCATAGACATAAGTTCCTGAAACAACAGCTTGCAAGCATAAGGCATTCGCACCAAGGAAATCTGAAAAGGAAAAAAAAAGTAATCAGCAGAACTGCGTCACAGTGACCTCACTTCCTGCCCCAGCTCAAGGTAAAGATGAGGTGCTGGATGGTGCCAGAGAGGGCGAGGGAGCGCACTGACCACCAGCCTACACTCCGCCTCCCAGTGCCCCTTCTCCCTGCAGCCTGCTGAACCCGCCTCTCTGCAGACACAGCTTATTAACCTCCAGTTAGAAGGACTAAGAAAAACTTGCTGTTAAAATCCTTGGTGCCAGACCATATTGTTTTAAAAAGATAAAGTCTGGGAAAATGACCATCCTTAAATTGTTTTTTGGAAAAATCAAATCACCTTTTTCCCTCTTAAAAACTAGGAACCCTGACAGAGGCAAGCAACCACAATTGTGACATGTCAACCTGCCACAGCATGCTGTGTGCTAGAGAATTAGACCGCCACGGTCATGTCCTAAAGAAGAAACATGGCCCATACACACCTGTGTCTTATTGCGGCAGCCCCTGCACTCGTACGTGTGGGTCCTGGTGTTAGCAATTGCCATGATTCCACAGAGACTGCAGACATGGACCTGATAGGGGTCTGAAGCCTCAAACAATCTTTCTCGTAAAAACTGTGCTGCTCCATGCGCAATCTGACAATCTCGTTCCATTTCTCCAAAACGCAGGCCACCATCACTGTTAAAGGAAAAACAGAAGATTGTTTTGTACTTTTTAAAAGGCAACCACCAGGCATGACACTGCATGCTTATAATCCTAGCACTCTGGGAGGCTTAGGTGGGAGAATTACAAGTTTGAGGCCAGCCTGGGCAACCCAGACCCTATCTTAAAAAGTAAAAAAGGTCTGAAAATATAGTTGAGTTGCAAAGGTCCTGGATTTGATCCCCAGTACAAAGAAAAAATAGACTAATTAATAGCAAAGTGGCTGACACAGCTCTTACCGAGATCTGCCCTCCATGGGCTGTCGATTAAGGATCTGAATAGGCCCCCTAGCTCGAGAATGAATTTTGTCATCCACCATATGTTTCAAGCGCTGGTAGTAAGTGGGGCCAATGAAAATCTGGGATGTGATTTTTCGACCAGTGAACCCATTGTAAAGGACCTAAAGAGAGAGAGAGTGAAGCACAGAACTAAAGATGCTGAACAAGTTCAAAGGGTGTCAGCGTGTACTGTTAATTCCAGGTATGACACACAGAACTAGTGTGCCAGCAGTCAGGAGAGCGGCGCTCGTGAGTGTCTCCTGGGTCCTGCTCTCTCCCAGATCCTAGTGTCAAGTAGGCGGGTGTGTGCACTACGAAGACGAACCAGGCCATGCAGTCAGGTTTTGTGTACACATATGAAGTATGCATTACAGTTCAATAAAAGGTTCATGTTTTAAAGAATAAATCACACACATGGCCCAAAAAATGCACGTAACAAGTTACTATTCCAAGAACACACAGACCTCATTTCCTCTGAGATGGTAGCCATAGTCTGACAGAAGATTAGAGATCTTCTGCACATTCACCGCGTCATTGAACGGAGTGGCATCGCCAATTTCACCCTTGTTAGCGGAGACCTGGAAGTAAAAGCAATCTTTGAAATGCTGCTTCACTCTGCTTCTCCTTAGACATTATACATGAAGTCAATTAAAATCCTTTTGAACTTAAAAATCTATTACAGAAGGCTGTGATACAGAGGCTCATTTTATTAACAGCTTATACTTTATTCAAAATAAATTTATCTAAAAATGAAAAACTCAGTTGTAAGCTTTCAAATAGAGATCTATCCAAAAATCAGGTTCAGCAGAGCAAGGCTCCCAGATCCTGATGGTTAAAGGAAAAGGACAGTTAAAACACCCCAAAGTCAAATGGCTCTAGCCTTTCTACCCGAACAAGACACAAAATCTAAAAACCTCCACTAAAATATGCATAGCTGACAATATAGCTATAAAATTAAGTTCATATTGAACTAACCACTAATGAATTCACTATCTATAGGAAAGAAATACTGAATAAGATAACCACGTATGAACATTGAGGTTGCAGGAGGTATATCTTATAAAAATTCTGTCTTGGTCATAACTTTGCAAATTTTCCTAATTAAAGAGGTGGGGGCAGAATCATAACCAATTTGAAAGTTAAAAATGAATTATCATACTAGCTTAAAGTTCTGGCTCAAATATGAGAGAAAATATCCACCATTTGTGAAGAAATGCCATTTTGGAACTTAGATTTCTGAAGGCAATCAATCTCTTACCTTCCCTTGAAGACACTCAATCAAGTGACCAATGGTCATACGAGAGGGGATAGCGTGGGGATTTATGATGATATCAGGGGTGATTCCTTCACAGGTGAAAGGCATATCCTAGAAAGAAAATTTTAAGAGACTCAAAAGATCCTGAAGTCTCTTAGCTACAAAAAAACTAGGACCGACACATCTAATTGAATTTTTTATGTCCTAAATTCTGTTCAAGGTACATTTGTGTACTTCTTCAATACTTCAAAAGTTAATAAAATTAAGTTCTGATTTAATACAATATCCAATAAGACTCTGAGGTAAGAGTGAAGGAGACCAGACACCTACCTCTTGTCTATACTGAATTCCACAAGTCCCCTTCTGACCATGCCGACTAGCAAATTTGTCTCCAATCTGTGGAATTCTTACAGAGCGTACCTGAAGTCGCATAAAAATAGGTTCAATGACACTGATTTGCATTCTGAAACCAGTTACATGGGCTGGATAAGCTATACTCACCCTTATTTTACAAAATTTATATCCTTCCTGGTTGAGAGTTACCATAACCTGATCCACAATGCCTGTCTCGCTGGTCCTGAGAAAAGTGCTACAATCTCTCTTGGTGTAGCGCCGGTTAGTGCTCTCCAGTTCATCCTCATTCTCAGGCAAGGTGACCGTTTTGCCTATGATAACATCGTCTCCTGACACACGGACCCCTGGAGCTATCAAGCCATCGTCATCCAGCTTGTCGTAAATGGCATGCCTCATACCTGTGGGGAAAAACACGGCAGCTTCGGAATGAGCATCCTGTACAGGAAAGCACTGAAGATTGTCACAGACACCCAGGAAGACTGAAAAGCAGAGCGTGCCTTTCTTTGTGTGTTCATCCCCCAGCACCTTGTGCAATCTTATCTCCCCTCGAACCCAATTCACTACACAGAGCCACAGAACTGGAGTAATGAGAAGACACAAGAAAACAAAACACTGCTGTGTAACGCTGCTGGGAGTCAAACAGTTGCAAAGACACCCCATCTAGCCCACTGCACAAGTACTTTTTAAAAGTCTGAAAATAACAACTAGAACATAAGCTCAAGTTTTCTAGAAGAAACAACAAATGCTAGGTACCTTCTTGTTTATTTTTTAAATGTTTACCAATATTTTGGCCAAATAGGGTTGTATCACAGTTTGGGGGCAGAAGGGGAGCCCTTGTGCAAACGGAAAAAATGAAGAACAAGAAACACAGCTTCTCTGATTTCCTAAATTTTCTCTTAAGGCAGGACCCAACAGGAGGGAAGGTCTGTAGCAACACGTCTGGGAAGGTGCAAAGACTTTGGCAAATACACATATTTTTTCTCTTTTTTTTTTTTTGAAACATGGTCTTGCTATGTAGTTCAGGCTGGCCTTGAACTCATGGGGATCCTGCTGCCTCAGCCACCCAAGTGCCGTATTACTGGCATGCACTACCATATTTTCTTACACATGAATTTCTAAGAAAGACATGAAAACACACTCCAACACTACAGGAAAAGGGGCTGTAAGGGACAACCTGGCAACAGAAAACCACCTTTGAACATTACACTTACCCTGACACGTTTCACGTGTAGGTTTCTCAAAAACTTCTTCTTGGTCAAATCCTTTTTTAGACTCCTGTTCTTTGTATGAGCGATAGAAAACAGACCTGAAAAATACAAGGCCCTAACAGTAAATTCTTTTTTTTTTAATAAAGGGGCTTAGTATATAATTTTTCATTTAATTAACAGCTAAGAGACAACCTAAACCATGAACCAGGGAGAGGAGTAACTATTATGGTGGAAGTTCAAAGGCAAATGGGACACACGGCTGGGTGCAGGTTAGATGAGGAAGAACCGCCAGTCAGGGTCCCTCCTAACCACCCCAAGAGGTGCTCACCAAGTCCCTGGACACCTGCTGTGAGGGTCATACATGAAGCCCCAGTGCTGGCCTCTGAAACTACACAGAGGGAAAGTCCTCTCCTCTGAATTCCCTACGTTTAAAATAATCTCTATATACCATGGATTTGAAATCAATCTTTGTGTCAATAAAGCAATCAAAGTGAAGCATAACAGAAAAATGGCAGTGAAAGCATAATGTAATTTTAGCAGCAATTATTTAGGGGTTCTACAATCACGGCTTTATTCTTTTCTCTGTAGACATTTCTAATTTATCTAAATGTAAATGCGTATTTGTTCACAAAAGACCCAAACCAAGATACTGTAATCTGAACATTCAAAGAAATACAAGAGGCAGTGTCCTCCTCAGCTAGACTGGGCGCAACCAAGCCTTCTGCTTCCTGGCAGAGGGCACAGTCAGATCTATTTTTTTTTATTCTTTTACTAGGGCTGGGGATTTAGCTCAGTCATTCCTGTGGCTGCTTTGC